TCTCCAACAGCAAAACATACCCTGCAATGACGTCAAGAAACCGATGTTTCAGTCCTAAAAATTTGTGGGATACGTTAGAAGGATAGTCGAAACATTCAACCATACGAGTATGTTGTGTAGTTTGTAACCAATATTGTACTATATAATAGACGGAATTTTAACTTATTCTTCTTTCATACAGTTTAGAATTGACAATTTCAACATACCAAACATGCCATAGATGTATTCAGACAACATAGTACATGTAAATCAGAAAGACTCATAAGATAATACCATTATTTTCGTAGAAGAAACTGTACATAGGCATGCAGGGAGATGGAAATATAAGTATTTCCTTTGAGTAAATTCTAGTGTAAAATAAGTACTTAACATACCAAGTTGTAACGAAGAAAAATCCGGCTTGCCATGTGAGACTCTTGGCAAAATCAGAATCAGGGTCCCAAGTAATTGCAAGCAGAGAATCCGCTTTACTCACCGCGACCAATAGATATGTATGCTGTATCACCATTGCCATTGCTAGAGCAAAAAATGCACCTGTTGCAGATAATAGAGGGATTTTGCCACTACTTGAATATGTGCACTCAGATTTTATAACTTTCCCTTCACCGCTCGATGCCTCCCATATCATCTGCATTTGTATCAGATGGTTTAAAGGCTAAATCCTTTCTTTCGAGAACAATAAAGAACAAAATGAAATAAGAAAACAAGAAAAGCACACATGATTAGGCTTCACGTAGTCCAATAGTTATACTGTTCGATTAGTACCTGGGAACGACTGGCCTCGGATATGAGACAGAGAATGAAGGAAAGAAGGCCTAACAATATAGACAAAATCGTTAAAAATGCGCCAGTTTTGCTGCCCAGGTCACATCTTCGTCGGCTTGGAGCAAGATCAGCATGCGTCACAGCCATTTTCGAAGTTTATCGTGCAAAGAAAAGAGGATTTGCAAAGATGAAAAGATGAGGAGAATTTAGAGTTATACATTGGAAAAGAGAGGAAGTTTTAGAATTGCTTGGAACAAAGGTTACTTAAAGGGCAGAGATTCTATGTTCCTGAGCTTGTTTTTCAAGATTTTACACATAGTTTTCTAGGGATTTCTTTCTTTCCAAATGTTCTGATTAATCGAACCCCATAAAGTTATTTTGCTAAAAATGTATAAAGATAGCGAGAAAAAAAACACACCGTTTAGATAATCCTCCTTTTATTATTAACCTTTCATAATTTAAAAGGTATATCACAGTGTACAGCCTCTCTTTTTGATTCTTTGCAGTATTAAAAAATAAAATAAAAGTTTCGTCTATTCTAATTAGATCCTTTTTGGTGCTGAATTCTGAACACATTGAGAGGGTGTAGCATTTGGTTTATGTTTACCGAGTTGTTTTTTTTACGTCAAAACGTGCAAGAATCTCTAAGCGTTTGGTGCTGAATTCTGAACACGTTGAGAGGGTGTAGCATTTGGTTTATGTTTACCGAGTTGTTTTTTTTACGTCAAAACGTGCAAGAATCTCTAAGCGTTGATGATTTGTGGCTTTACCTTTAGAGATAAACAACACAGGTCTAAAGTGGCATGAGACGAAACTTCTCAAGTAATTTGAACATCAAGGAGTCTCTTCTAAGTAACCCTTTTTGCACATTTTGACTCTTCGCGAGATGGATGATTTTCATATGAGATGACGAGTTTTTTAAAGTAATATGCATGTATTGTATGCCTCTAATTTTAAAATGGTGTAGCCAAAAAGAAATTATATATAATTATATTGTCTTACTGCCAATTTTGCATATGTTCGATTGGTATCTTACAACTACTTTTTAGATAAATACATACTGACCATTCATAATAAGACTCAAAATTTACCTTCTTTATTAACTTTCAGGCCTAGAGAATTAAGAATTGTGATTGATACGTTTGGTGTCTAACCTTTTCTAATTCTAGAGAGGTCCATGGAGGAATATCAAATTTCTTTGGGGGCCTTCACTTGATAGAATCGAGAGAAATTTATTTAGGAATTTGCTAATCAAACAGGGGCTGTCACACGACCCTGTGACAGGGCAGCACCTCATCCCTTGATCTGAAATTAAAATCAAGGGTTGAGGTGCTGGACACCTCTACCCTGTCGGATAGGCCCTGTTTATGTAGCATCTTCCATTTATTTATTGAGTAAAAAATGACTTCAATGTTATGAATTATGATATCTAAGCTTAAGTCATTAGAGATAAACACATATATTTATGTATAACTATAGACATAACTCATCAGTGTAGATTAAGCCACTGTTTGGATTTCATTTTCGAAAACTCTCTTTTCAAAAAAAAAAAAAAAATAAAACCTTAATTTTAATAACAAATTTTCTCGGTAAAATAGTTTTGCATGTGTATCCATAATTTTTCTTATTTTTTAACTACACATTCTCTAAAATCATTTCTCCGAAAATTTATTATCATAAAAATTCTACTAAATTCATGTTGTCATCAACATGTAAGGTAAAAATTGTCTAATTTGATTATTCGAGGCTTAAACAAGGGTTATTGAACTATAATTTAATTCCAACTGAGTCATCAAACTTTAATTTAATTTCAACTATGTCACTAAACTTGAATTTAGTTTCTCTTTCCAATTCCATGCATACTCTTAACATTTTTATTTATTTTTGAAAAAAACCCAACGCAATTTCGACAATTCAACCATTCATTAATCATTTCAATTAAAAAATTCTCATTTTCATTAATCTTTAACTTCTTGCCATAATAACGGTCCTCTCTTTCATTCTCTCTTCCCCCTCTCACATCCAAACAGGTGAAGATGAGAGAGATGAATGACAGTCCACCGTCCTACTCTTCGAATCAAGGGTTCGAGCATGTGAAAACCACCGTTGCCCCACCAATTTTGATAACGTTTATCATGTACCAAATCCTCCACGAACATATAAAATTGCTTCCTCGACCTCCTATATATCATCATCACAATTTGGCCATGGAGAGCATAAGAGAAACAGGAGAACGAAATCATACAAGACTTATACTGAATATGTGCACTCAGATTTTATAACTTTCCCTTCACCGCTCGATGCCTCCCATATCATCTGCATTTGTATCAGATGGTTTAAAGGCTAAATCCTTTCTTTCGAGAACAATAAAGAACAAAATGAAATAAGAAAACAAGAAAAGCACACATGATTAGGCTTCACGTAGTCCAATAGTTATACTGTTCGATTAGTACCTGGGAACGACTGGCCTCGGATATGAGACAGAGAATGAAGGAAAGAAGGCCTAACAATATAGACAAAATCGTTAAAAATGCGCCAGTTTTGCTGCCCAGGTCACATCTTCGTCGGCTTGGAGCAAGATCAGCATGCGTCACAGCCATTTTCGAAGTTTATCGTGCAAAGAAAAGAGGATTTGCAAAGAGGAAAAGATGAGGAGAATTTAGAGTTATACATTGGAAAAGAGAGGAAGTTTTAGAATTGCTTGGAACAAAGGTTACTTAAAGGGCAGAGATTCTATGTTCCTGAGCTTGTTTTTCAAGATTTTACACATAGTTTTCTAGGGATTTCTTTCTTTCCAAATGTTCTGATTAATCGAACCCCATAAAGTTATTTTGCTAAAAATGTATAAAGGTAGCGAGAAAAAAACACGCTGTTTAGATAATCCACCTTCTATTATTAACCTTTCATAATTTAAAAGGTGTATCACAGTGGACAGCCTCTCTTTTTGATACTTTGCAGTATTAAAAAATAAAATAAAATAAAAGCTTCGTCTATGCTAATTAGATCCTTTTTGGTGCTGAATTGTGAACACATTGAGAGGGTGTAGCAACCGGTTTATGTTTACCAAGTTGTTATTGACGTCAAAACGTGCAAGAATCTCTAAGCGTTTATAGTTTGTGGCTTTTAACTTTAGAGATAAACAACACAAGTCTAAAGTGGCATGAGACGAAACTTCTCGACTAATTTGAACATCGAGGAGTCTCTTCTAAATAACCCTTTTTGCACATTTTGACTCTTCGCGAGATGGATGATTTTCATATGGGATGACGAGTTTCTTTTAAAGTAATATCCTTGTATTGTATGCCTCTAATTTTTAAATGGTGTAGCCAAAAAGAAATTATATATAATTATATTGTCTTACTGCCAATTTTGCATATGTTCGATTGGTATCTTACAACTACTTTTTAGACAAATACATACTGACCGTTCATGATAAGACTAAAATTTGACCTTCTTTATTAACTTTCAGGCCTAGAGAATAAAGAATTGTGATTGATACGTTTGGTGTCTAACCTTTTCTAATTCTAGAGAGGTCCATGGAGGAATATCTGAATTTCTTTGGGGGCCTTCACTTGATAGAATCGAGAGAAATTTCTTTAGGAATTTGCTGATCAAACAGAGACTGTCACAGGCCCTGTGACAGGGTGGCACCTCAACCCTTGGTCTAAAATTAAAATCAAGGGTTGAGGTGCTAGACACTTCAGCCCTGTTGGACAGGTCCCTCTTTATGTAGCATCTTTCATTTATTTATTGAGTAAAAAAATAACTTCAACGTTATGAATTATGATATCTAAGCTTAAGTCATTAGAGATAAACACATATACTATAGACATAACTCATCAGTCTAGATTAAGCCACTGTTTGGTTTTATTATCATAAAAATTCTCTAAAAATCATTCTCTAAAAATCATTTCTCCGAAAATTTATTATCATAAAAATTCTACTAAATTCATGTTGTCATCAACATGTAAGGTAAAAATTGTCTAATTTGATTATTCGAGGCTTAAACAAGAGTTATTGAACTATAATTTAATTCCTACTGAGTCATCAAACTTTAATTTAATTTCAACTATGTCACTAAACTTGAATTTAGTTTCTCTTTCCAATTCCATGCATACTCTTAACATTTTTATTTATTTTTGAAAAAAACCCAACGCAATTTCGACAATTCAACCATTCATTAATCATTTCAATTAAAAAATTCTCATTTTCATTAATCTTTAACTTCTTGCCATAATAACGGTCCTCTCTTTCATTCTCTCTTCCCCCTCTCACATCCAAACAGGTGAAGATGAGAGAGATGAATGACAGTCCACCGTCCTACTCTTCGAATCAAGGGTTCGAGCATGTGAAAACCACCGTTGCCCCACCAATTTTGATAACGTTTATCATGTACCAAATCCTCCACGAACATATAAAATTGCTTCCTCGACCTCCTATATATCATCATCACAATTTGGCCATGGAGAGCATAAGAGAAACAGGAGAACGAAATCATACAAGACTTATACCATTGAAAGCCATACGAAGACTTCTATAAGGAATAGCTTCCAATGGATGAAAAATAAATGTTTTTCATCTTAAATTATGCACGTGTCAATATTGTGCATTTCAAGGCTTGTATTTTTCAAAAATGTATTAGGGGTATGTCATTGTCATTTTACCAATCATTTGTGAAGCTTTTGAAATTAATTAACTAATTAAATCTGTAATGAAGATTATGCCGTCCAAATGCTTGTGCTTTTCATTGTCATCTGCAATTGTGTTCTTTTAGCTTTTATTCTTTTGATAGAAAATCAATAAATATTTCCAAATATAAATTTTGTTTTGTATTGGAGCAATAATTGAACGCCATAATCTGGTGGTCATAATACAGGTAGAATCTATTTATCTTTTCAAATACTTCACAATAAAAATAAAAAATAATTGAAAATTTAAACAACGTATTTTTTACATCGTTACTATGATTTTTTTGGTAATTATTCCGAAAAATTTTCACTACTACATTATTTGTTATACCGTAACACTATATGGTATGAAGGTGAGGCCGAGCCCATTCCTAGGATGAGCACATTTAAAAGAGATGAGCTCACGATAAAGAGGAAGAGGTTGAGTCCACGAGTATGAGTCAACAATGGTGACGATGAAGCTAATCAAGCATTTAAGCAAAGCTCTTGCTATTTAAGACTAACGAAGTAAAGCTCAAAGCATCTTCAGTAAATTTGAGTTTAAATTGGTATGTTCGAAATTATATTTAAGTCCTCATTTACATCTCACTAAATTGAAATTGAAATTTTGTTTTAATGGGAATACCTAAATTCACTTTTTGTTGGAAAATGCATTTTGTATTTTCTTTGCATCTCTTCATTGGAGAAGTTTTCGACCACTTTGAAAATCCAATCATAATTTAAATTTATTTTACATCACGATTGGAGATGCTCTTAAGATGTTATGATTAGATCTCGACTTAATAAAACATTTGTTCAACTAGTTCTGACTCAAAATTCAAAAACGTGACATGCTACGATAATAAGCCACAACCTTGATAGTTATGGCAAAGGTAAAATCATCGATTTAAAATTAAGAAAACCATTATGTGGTCTTTAGCATGATGCATGGTGGATTAGGTTGGGAGATTAGTATTTTTTTACAAGAGATTGTGTTGATTGTGTATGCATTTAATAAAGGTTATGCTACAAGTGTATCGAAGTTTACACTCTGGTGTAAATAATGTCCAAGTGACATTTTCGTTATAACTCTAAAATTATCACAAAAGGTGTCATCTTCCTAATGAGTCTTAGAGGATTGCCATATTTAAAGACATAAAACACACGTTATGAATGTTAAAAAGCGTGCCCATGAAACTGAAAGAAATAAATGATCAGTAGCGAAATAATAAAAAATTGAAAGAAGTTGATACCAACTTGATTACTAGAATGATAATTTACCAAAGTTGGTAAGAGTAAAGGAAATTTCAACCAGCATTACTGATCTTTACACTTACTTGCAATCAGGTCACTGAATTTTAATTCGAAGCAATTTCATCAATGTAGTTTAGTTTGCAAGAATTAGGTCACTTTGTTATCCTTTCAACAAGACTTCCAAATACACGGTTCCCATATACGTAAAGTTGGTATCGAAGTCCCTACGAGCATGGCGCAGTGATAAAGCAGGAGGGTTCTATATGGAGTACCGAAAGTTCGAATCCCCACGGTAGCTGGAAGACAACATTTATGTTAGAAGGCAGTTATCCTGTGGAGGTAAAGCTATAGTGTGCTATGTCGTCCCTTCGGGTCTTGTTTGCACGTCGTAAAAGGAGGTCTACAGGGGGGAGAACCGCATCCCGAATACTTGGCTCAAGTGTGTATAACTCGTGATCGCATCCGAATCTACCTAGGTGGCGAACCAGAGGGAAAGACCGGTACTCCTGAGGATTAATCAGACGAAACTTGGACATCCGAGTTATTAAAAAAAGAAGAAGAAGAAGTTGGTATTAAATCTCTCGAAATAAATAAAATAATAAATATATAAGTATACATAAAATAGTTTACAAAATATGTTATCTTTCAAAATTAATTAAATATATAGACAACAATTACTTATTAAACTTGGTTGCAATTCATTTTTATTATGTTAAACTCAAACAACTATGAAATAACATGTACATAGGGCTGAACAACGAAATCGTCAAACTGTAAAATCGAATTGAAATCGTTAGTTGGTTCCACGTGGATTCGTCAACATTTTGGTTTTGAACCGAACCAAACCGCTTCGAAGTGGTTTGGTTTAGGTTTCAATTTCTGTAAACCGTTTAAATCGTCAAATCGTTTACAAAAAAAATATGAAAATAAATTAGTCTAAATTTCATTTAACCCAACTAAAACTTAACACATTTCAATTAAAAAAAAATACATCTATATTAGACATAATTCAATTAAATTCAATTCGACTATTATACATCTCAATTAATTAATTAATTATATCCAAATATTCATGAGTCTTAACAACTGTGAATGTAAAATCCTTAAATTGGGTAAAATGTTGAACATCTGATGTTAAACCACATTCATCGATTATCCATTACAATTGAGCAGACAATAAAATCTAGATTTCAATTCAAACGTGTACATTTCATTTCCTTCTAATTATTTCTCAAATTTTGCTCAAATTCAAGTTAGATTACCAAAATTCTTTTATTTTTTGGTAATTGTTTTTATTGGTAGTTATATTGTTTTGTTCTAATAATTGTTAGTTTCTCGGCCCCCCTTACAGTAATTTACCAATATTTAGATTTAGTAGAAGTTTTGAATGATTCACAAAAAGTCATAGTAGATGGGTACTATTGTATTTGAATTTTTTTATTCATTTTCTTTTATTAATCATTTTATATCATTTAGTTATAATCAATGAATTTATGTACTATATTTTTATATTTATGAAGAAAATGAATCATGTATTACACTTTCAGATGGACACCATTAGTATCGACTAAGAGTTTAATCTATTTATACCATGTTGTTGCATTATAATTATATAAATTTGATTTGTAATTTTTTTAATAATACAATTTATGTTTTAACATGAAATTTTAGACTAATATTTATGATTTAATTTATTTGAT